AAACAAAGCTGGGGTTCTTTTAGTTAAAACAGAATAAATGTGGAATAGCCAATCAGCAATGTTAAATTAGATATTTTATGTAAAGTGTTAAGCACAGTAACCTCACACATAGTTAACTGCTCAATAAAAGTTAAACTATAGCCTGACCAGCATGACTCAGTGGTTGGGCATCAACCTATGAACCAGGAGGTCTCAGTTCAATTCCCGGTCAGGGCACATGCCCAGGTTGCAGGCTCAATCCTGGTAGGGACATACAGGAGGTAGCCAATCAATGATTCTCTCTCATCATTGATGTTTCTATATCTCTCTCCCTCTCCCTTCCTCTCTGAAATCAATAAAAAAAATTTTATAAACGAAACCGGTTTCGCTCAGTGGATAGAGCGTCGGCCTGCAGACTGAAGGGTCCCAGGTTCGATTCCGGTCAAGGGCATGTGCCTTGGTTGTGGGCACATCCCCGGTGGGGAATGTGCAGGAGGCAGCTGGTTGATGTTTCTCTCATCGATGTTTCTAACTCTCTATCTCTCTCCTTTCCTCTCTGTAAAAACTCAATAAAATATATTAAAAAAAAATTTTTATAAAAAAGTTAAACTATAATTGCTGCTATCATTATTGTTGTTGTTATTATTCACCTACCTTACCCCTAGCCAAACAGAATAACTTAGTATATCCAGATATCCTCCTTCCATGTCTATTATATCCACCCCTCTAACTGTATATCCAACACTATCCCTGCTTCAAGGTCCAGGAAAATGCCATTTCATCCATGAAGTCTTTCCTGACACTCCCAATAAGAGGTCCTATGGTGGCAGGACCCACATCAGATAAAAACTTCTTGGGATAATTTAAGAAATTCTTATACATACTTATACCTGTTTTTACAGTCAGTCCTCTAGAATCAAACCTGGTATGTTTCTGAAATGCAAAGGTTAAACATTAGGTTCATATGTCATAAAGCCAGGGGACTGAAGGGATAAAAGCTGCACTCCCCAAGAATGAGAAGAAAAAATTATAAAATTCTCTAATAACACCATGCTTTTTGTGGGAGTTCAGATTATATTTCACCAAATATTCCCTCTCTACTATGGGCAGAATCCACTTTTACCTATGGATATTGGGGCTTCCCCATGTGACTTGCTCTATCCAAAAAGGTTGCTAATGGAAATGACATTTGCTTGTGCAATTGGGCTTGCCACTTGAATCCAGTGATCTGCCCTACGAAGAGCATGCCCCAAGTAGCCGCTATCCCTTCAGCCTGCGCCCCAGAACACCAGTGGAGCAAACCAGAACCCAGCCTGCAGCCTACAGCAGAGCCACCCCAAGGAGTCCAGCCTCGGTCAGCCAAATCACACTCAACCTAAAGACACACGAGTGTGGGAATAAATAGACCTGTTGCTGTAAGTCAGGGAGTTTTGTTATGCCCCAAAAGTTGACTAACATATACTTTACCACTTGATATATTTTAGCACTTCTTACATATTCATTCATTTTTTTCTTCACACAAGAAAGAACAGGCTGAAGAATCTCTGCCTTTGGTACATGCAGTGATTTCTATCTTTGGATCAACTGATTTAAATTTATGAGATTACATTATCATTCATATCAGTGCTTTTGTGCATTCCATTTGTTCTACTCGCTTTCAAAAATAAGGAAAATCACAATAAAGTATCAAGGAGTAATATAAACATTGCTAAAACTAAACTGTTGGTTAGCCAAGTAGGTCTCTCCTATAGACAGCCAAAACGTTAACTTCTTAGCTGATAAAAGGGGTGAAAGGATGCCCTAGTAGATTGTACAAAGTCAGCCCCGTCAAAGTCAAAGACTATCTGTTGAGGTGAATTTGTGGACTCCAACACCATTCATCGAAACACATTTTTCAAGATATCTGTTTTGGCAAACCATAACCACTGATTTTCACCAGTAGGAAGACATTGATAAGGCTTAAGTTTTGTGACTTTTCCAACATCGTAAAACAAGATGGCCATATTATTTTAATAAAATAATTTTAAATAAAATTATATTCAATCACTAATGAAAACCAGTCTCTTTGTAAGTGAAAGATAAAATAAAATTCCAATCCCTTAGTGAAAAAAAGAGCCAGCTGAATGATGTTAAGAGCATGTATTTGACCAAGACCTATTAAAAATTCCAATGGTGGAGGAGAAAGGGGAAATGGGAGATATCTGTAATACTATCAACAATAAGAAATATATATTTTTGCCCTAACCGGTTTGGCTCAGCAGATAAGAGCGTCGGCCTGTGGACTCAAGGGTCCCAGGTTCAATTCCAGTCAAGGGCATGTACCTTGGTTGCGGGCACATCCCCAGTGGGAAGTGTGCAGGAGGCAGCTGATCGATGTTTCTAACTCTCTATCCCTCTCCCTTTCTCTCTGTAAAAAATCAATAAAATATATTTTTTTAAAAAGAAAAAGAAATATATATTTTTTTAATTCCCAATTGAAAATTTAAGGTATCAAGTAAAATGGAAGAGTGGATTTTGTTTTGTTTCACCTTCTTTTAAGTCATTATTAACTTGGGAAACAAATATCCATTGGGCCAAAGCTGACATACTAGAAGTGTATAAATCACAAAGTTACTAAATTTGCCTATTAGTGGAAGCAACAGCCTTCAAAGTGGCAAGGCAAAGAAGACAATACAAGGCCGTCGACATCTTAGTGGGCTCTTAACAGAATAGGCCATATGTATGCTGAGACAGGTTACACTTCAGACTGGATACATGCAGATCACACTACCAAAATTTGAATTCAAGGCCATCGCCAAGGTCATCGACTCTGGGTCAGAGAAACCTGGGCTCAAATTCTCACTTTCACACTTAGCTGTATCAAGATACTTAATTCCTTTAGTCTCTTCTGTCTATAATTTGGGGATAATAATAGTAGCTACCTCATAGAGGTTCTGCCAGATTTTAAAAAGATAATGCCTATAAAGTACTCAGCAAAGTGCTAGCACATGAAATAACAATAATAATGATAATAGTAATAACACTACCTTGACCAACCCGGCTCCTACATGAAGACTGTCCTAATCAGTGAACTCTGGCTCATAATCTCATGAAATGCTGAATGCACAGGTCTGTGTTCACATCCAGGTACTGCTTCTATGAGGTGACAGCTCTCTGGATCAACCAGTAATTTTTCTACTGAATTCAGGCAGAAGAATGTTGAAAAATAAGCTTTTCACTAACAGAAAATTAAGAAGGATTTGGTCCTTCCAGCCACAATCCATCCACCCATGAAAGTCTTGCTAGTGAAAGCCGCGTTTCCATTCTTATCCACACACCACCCCTCCAAACTGTGCAAGGCTTTTGTTAAAGCACAGAAGCAGACGGACAAGATGGCTCACTTCAGAAGCAAACTCACCTCAAAAGCAAACTCTTCTACTCTCCAGAAAGGATCTGGCTTGACCCCACGGCCACCTCCACACTGACATCCAAACTGGAAGTGAAGAAGCCAGCCCTCACTTCCAGAAGTTGAGGCACCCGGTCAAAAACTAAAAGAATCCCTTCTATTCGTGGTAACCCTAATAAAGCATGCTTGTCTGCTTCAAAAATATCTCATAAATTCGCCCATCAGCGCCAAGAGCCCACTGCTGTAGGCTGAGAGACAATGCGACTTTACAAGGACAAGAGACCATCAGAGACAAAGTGCCACACCCTTTCCAAGGCAGCTCAACGGCAAACGGTGTCTCTTATAAAGGAAGACAAGTCTAACCCCCAACACCCCTCCCCCACCCCCATTTCATCCTTTACACAGACCCATTTCCTTTTCATTTTTAAATCAATGGCCTGAGCATCCCCAACTACTACAACTTATAAAAGGGGGGTAAGAAACAAACACAAGTCAAATATACTTGCTTCTAAGCCCATTTGGCAGAGTTTTCTTCCCGCTTCTCTGCCTGTCACAGCTGGAGCCCCATACCTGGTGGAAACCAATGGTTAAGTAAAACCACTGATTTTAAAAAGCCAACCAGGAAACTAGCCATGACAAGTGGGAACGGCCCTCCTCTCCCGAGCATTGATTGGCTCTTGGGGTTCCACGGTCCCTGTTCTGCCCACATAAATGGCAGGTGTGGCTGTCAGTCACGCGGGGCGCTGACAATTCACCGCTCCGGGAGTAAATGGTCTTTCATCTCGCAGAGGCAGGTAGCCGCCTAAAATCGATCCGCTCACCCAGCGCGGACCCTCCCTCTCTGGGGAGGAGAACAGAGACCCTTTAAGTACAAAATAAATAAGAGAGGGCCAACCAGAGAGTTGACGAGCGCACCAACGCACCGTAATCTTCACTGTCCTAAAATGATCTTTCCAAGGCTTGGACAGTCATTTAAAGGAAAAAAACCCTCTGAGTACCCCTTTTCTGGTCTAATCCCGAGAAGGGGAGGGGGAGGGAAGGAATGTCGTTCGGGTTCATGTCACATCGTATTCGTTTTCATACACCACCACTCCCTCCCCTTCCCCAATTAATCCAGCCCGTTTTCCATGACACGGATTTTTTTTTTTTTTTTTAAACACGCTCCCCTCGGAGTCCAGGGAGGCAGCCTGGGACCCCACCCCCCGGGGCTGGGGCTGCACCTTTCCCTACTTTGTTCTGCTGGAGGTTTCCCGAGACCCTTGCCCCGCGAACACCCCACCCCTGGAAGCCAGAGGGGGAAAGAGTGGGAGCTGGAGAGAAGAAAGGCGATGGCAGGGAGGGCGGCCGCCGGGAGGGACTGCGGGAGGTGCCCGGCCGCCGGGACGAGCGCGCCGGGGAAGCCGTGCACTTGTTCAGCCCGGGGGCTCCTCCGGGAAGGCAAGCCCGCCTTAGGCCGCCCCATCCTCTCCCCCGCCCCGGAGAGCCCCGGCCGCGGCGGGCGGTGCACCCCTCGGCTCCCCCCGATAACGCATTGCAGCTCCCCACGAGTGAGGGGCGCCCGGCACGAGAGATGCCGGGGCACGGGCGCCCCGAGGGAGCCGGCGCCCAGCGGCCCGGCCGGGCGTCGACGTCTCACCTTTCGGATGCTCGCCCGGGGCCGCCCCACATGGATTTGTACAACCTCACGTCGCCTCGGCCCCGGGCGGCCGGGAGGAGCCGGAGCCGGCGCTAGAGTGCGAGCAAGCAGGAGCGGGAGGTGGAGGAGGAGGAGGAGCCGGCTGGAGGGAGGGAGGCGGCAGGGAGGGTGCGCTCCGAGGGCCGGGGCCCGCGCGGGGCCGGGCGGGGCTGGCGGCCGAGGGGGCGGCACCCACCGCAGTCCCGACACGCGCGCTCGCGCGGCGCTGAACTGCGCTCCGCGGGGCCACCGCCGGCGCGGCGCTCTCTCCCGCCGCGGCCCTGACTCACATTCCCAGCATTCCCGGGGCGCGGGGGGGGGGGGGGCGGGGGGGGACGGGGGGCGGGCGGGGACGCGGCACCTCTGCGGGGGGCCGCGGGGAGCTCGGCCCGGGCGTGGTGCGCGCGGCGGGGGTCGGGGAAGCGCCTTCTCCCTGGAGGCCGCTGTCTGGAAGCAGCTGGTCCCCGTCTTCTGCCCCTGGCACCCCTTGCAAAGGCTGCCAGCCACTCCCGGACTAGTCAGGTGGCCTCGGCGACAGGGGCAGGGATGGCACTTGGTGGAGAGGCTGCAACTATCTTTCAGTGTAAGCTTTGGAGTTGGGGGTCGAGGTTTCCATACCCCCGCACCCTTCCCTTAGCTTCATCTTCGTTAGGATGGGTGAAGGGATTTCATAAGACTTTTTTTACTTGCTTGTACCCTCTAAGGAAAGGAGAGAATGGAAGATGAAGGGAGCAAGAAAAAATAGATCATCATCATCATCGTTACCATCATTCATTGAGCGCCTCCTCTATGCCCTGCAATGTGTGTGTCTTCCCATTTAAGGAAGAAAGGTAGTGTCTGAGTTCATTCATACACACACACACACACACACACACACACACACACACACACACACACACGGTGAGGCGCAGGAGGAGTTGGACACGTGGTTCATTGGAAAAAGCTCCCACCCAACAAGTCTGGAGCCCCAGCGGCTACCGTTTTATATTAGCCAGGGAGTTCGAAATGTCATAGGTGTCTCCAGATTTGTCTCTCACTGAGAGTCCATCCGCAGGCCTACAGCAGTCATTTCCTTCCATTCCTGATGAGTCTGCTTCCAGCAATGTCAGTGGCCAGATAGGAATATCTCCTGCTGGGAAACTCAGACAAATGAAGCAAATTTAGCCTTGGGATGTCTGGGTGTGCAGAGGCACGGAATCAGCACAGTGACTAGGAATGACTCCTTTTTCGTGCCCTGATGGGAATTCACATATTAAATGAAGGAAGTGGGTGCTGAAAGAGGAGGATGCCTTTTTGTTCCAGCCCAAATGCCCTGTTCCTTAAGCCTTCCTTTCGCATTATTGGTATTTAAGGGTTTTCACAGATTCATGGTCCCAGAGGTCTCTGCACTCACCCTCTTCTTTCTCTCAGTCACCAAGAAATAGGCACTCATTTTGTTGACCCCAATGCTCTCTGGAGAAACCCAAGCTACACTTGTTGTGTTTAGTTTCCCATGTACATCCTAGACAGCCTGGGCTGAAAAGGCTTGTTGGATACTGAAGCCTGGTCAAGAGTCCTTTGACAAGTCCTAAAATCCCTTATCTTTTGAAATGTGACCGTGTTTATTGAGTACCTCCCTCTGTGTAGCACTTACATTTTCTCAACTACACTCACAGAAACTCTATGTTTACTATCTTTCAGGAAAGTCAGGTAACATACCCAGCTGAAAATGTATTTAAATCTATGTCTTGGCCACCCATTCTCTTAACCTGTGATCCATGGATTCTAAACAAGAATCCTTGTACTTCCTGGTGACAATTTCTTGTTTATATGCCTATGTACATTTCCTCCCAGAGGGAAGATCTATGGTTCTCAACAGATTTCTTTCACTTTGGATTCTTGAAAAAATTAAGAATAATCACTTTAAATAGAAAGCAACTTTATGTAGTAGAACAAGGATTAGAAATTTTAGTGATGTAAGTCATCTTTACCCTCTCTAGGACTTAGTTTTCTCATCTGAAAATTAAAAAGCTGAGCTAAAGGATCTTAAGATCTCTTCCAGAGCCAACATTCTCTAACTGTGTGTATGTGTGTGTGTGTGTGTGTGTGTGTGTGTGTGTGTGTGTGTGTGTGTGTGAAAATGCTTTCAAGTAGCCACTGCAGGTTCTCACCTTTGAGGACAAAAGATTATAAAACATGCCATGTTTTATTAAACCTGTTATATGGCTTCAGGTTTTTTGTTCATGTTCGTGTTTTTTTGTTCGTTTGTTTGTTTTACTTTGTTTTTCACATCTTCTTCCATCATGGCAATCCCTTCTCCAGCAAGTCAGAGGAAGCTCACACTTTTATGGCAGATATTTTTTCTCACATATTTATTCATTCATTCACTCAACAAATACTTACTGAGCATCTACTCTGTGTTGTCCTATAGGTTCAGAGCCCTTGCCCTCAAGGTCTGCCCAGAATAGTAAGAGAGAGAGACAAAAAAAGTGGGCATTACAATACCTCTTATAAAGGGACAAAGCTCTGGAACTTTAGGAGCACCCAGGAAGGACAGCCAACCTTTTCCCTGAGGTTCAGAAAATGCTTCCCAAGGAAATGTCTTAAAGTTTGCCTGCCATCTAACTTTCCCTGGGTTATCCTGTGTTCGGTCCAGACCAGCAAGCAGCTAGAAGAGATTGGATGTCTGATGGACATCTGCCCCTGGGCGAGTCCACAGTATTTGAGACTGGGCCATAAGAATAAGTCAGCCGGACTTGTATGCATGCATATAAGCCAAACCAATGGACATGAACAACAGGGGGATGAGAACATGGGGGGGGGGGGGGTTGGGGGGTTAATGGGAGGATGAGGACACATTTGTAATACCTTAACCAATAAAGAAATTAAAAAAAAAAAAGGAATAAGTCAGCCAGTGGATCCTGAATGGTGAGCTTGTAGACTGTGGTAGCCTAAATCAGAACTATGGCACCCAAAACCATGATGCTAAAGTCATCAAGAAATGAGCTCTAAGACTTTTGCCAAGCAAGCTGGTCTGCAGAGAGGAGAGTAGACAGCCATGTTAGACCTTGTAAACCTGCCCAGTGGGTTGACGTGATAGCCAAGTGCCCTGTAACTGAGTGCTGGTTGAAAACAACTATTTTTGTTGTACAATGTTGCAGGGCCATAAAATAGACAGCAGCAACTACTTGTCTCTCTTTTTCTTTTTTCATGTTTTTTTCATTATGGATATTTTGCATTCATTCTTTTTTTTTCTTTTTTTTTAAATATATTTTATTGATTTTTTACAGAGAGAAAGGGAGAGAGATAGAGAGCTAGAAACATCGATGAGAGAGAAACATCGATCAGCTGCCTCCCGCACATCTCCCACTGGGGATATGCCCGCAACCCAGGTACATGCCCTTGACCGGAATCGAACCCGGGACCCTTCAGTCCGCAGGCCGACGCTCTATCCACTGAGCCAAACCGGTTTCGGCTTTGCATTCATTCTTAATTCAGCACTTGCAAAGAAAAATATTTATATTTTGATATTTGCAACCATAGTAAAACAAAGACTTATATTTTTGATATTTATTTTATATATTTAAATGCCATTTAACAAAGAAAAATCAACCAAAAAAATGAGTTCATGTGTCACCTCTGACACGCGTGTCATAGGTTCGCCATCACTGTGCTAGGCCCTGTTCTAAGCATTTTGTATGTATTACCTCACTTATTCCTCACAATCACCCTTTAAGATACTATTATTATTTCTATTTTACCAATAAAGACAATGATGCACAAGACCACACAGCTAGAAAGTTGCAGGACTGAGATTCAAACCCAGGGTTCAAACCCTGGCCCCCTTACAGGGAGGGACTGAAGAGAGAGGCAGGCCCCTGCAGATTGGTAGGTGGCAGACTTAATAAGCAAGGGAACTTACATACAAGGCTTGTCTTGGGTGGCCAAAAACCTCGTAGATCTCCGCACCAGCCCACCAGAATCTAAAAAGTTTACATAGAGACCTGATTCTTCCAAGAAAATGCCCATGGCAGAACATACATTCCAAGGACAAGGAAGGGAGTGAGGAGCCCCCAGTTCCCAGGTCTAGCTCCTGGGTAACTGGCAGTCACTGTCCTCTCAATCACCTCCTCCAACATCAGTCAGTCTGACACCAAAATCAACAAGGCAAAATTAACTGGACTTGGTGAGTGATTGGATGTGGGACATGAGGGAGGAGCCAAGACTGCTCCTAGGAGTCTGACTTGGGCAACTGGATGGATAATGTGGCACTAACTAATATTGGAAATACAGGTGGGAGGCACAGGTTTATGGAAAATTTGTGAACAACTTATGGGTTCAGTTGGGTCATTATACATTTGAAGGTGCCAGGAACCTCATGACAGAGATATCCAGAAGGTGACTATCTCATTGTGCTTTGGGTCAGATGAGAGATATATGATGAAGACAGTGTACGGGAGTCATCGCATTTGGCAATTAGAACCCAATGTCTTAGTAACCTGGAACAATCATTGGCCATGGAAAAAAAATACAGTTAGATGAGAAACAAAATCCCTAAACAACTCACAATTACCTGTTCTTCTTAGGCATAAAGTCATTTGTACATGTCTCAGGCTAGATTTTAGTTCAAGAGAAGCATCAGTAGTCTGCTAAAAAAGTAAAAAGGCCCAAATAACTACCCACAAACACCCCCGCCCCAAGAAATGATCACCCAACACTTATGAAGCCAACCTATTGGCTTAACTAAATGAATTCTGTTTGCCAGGGATGTTTTAAGACCTTTGCAGCACTAAGCATCACAGCAAGCATTTCAAAATCCAGCATCATCGGAATATCTTTTTTTCTGTGGAAATTTTTGAAAGTTTTTTAACATCACTTTTCATTATTTAACTAATTCATTTTATTCACTTTTGGCTATGATTTGTCCATAATTATTAAGCAGGTTCAATTCTAGGCACATCAGTTAGGGCCTGTGGGAGACAACCAATTGATGTGTGTGCCTCTCTCTCTCTGTATCTCCCCCTCCTTTCCACTCTCTCTAGAAATCAATGGAAAAAAATATCC